ATTCTCCTTATCCAATATTTAAATCGACATAAAATCACCTCCCACATACATTAGGTATATAAACTAGTAATAATGCACATTATATTATGTTTCAAAATGAGTCATCAAAACCAAGGTAAACAAAGAGAAATAATCCACTTTCTTTTTATAGATTTAAGTTTTTTATATGCATTATCTATACAAAACTTTAACAATGTAATTTTATAAACAAAGTTTAAAAAAGATTACACAAATTTTACTCATTTTAGAGAGATAAAAAAGATATATTTAAGAGATCCTTGACTCAAGTAACACACATCAAATATATATATATATATATATGTGAAATTATTTTATATATTAATTTATTACACCCTACCAAACGATCGCTGAGAGTGTCCCATTAGTAGTATCTAAACAATTCTTAATTTAAAAGTAAAAAAGTTGCAAATTGTAACTTTAGAGAAAACTTTTGTGTAACGGACAAAACAAAAGTAACAAATAAATTAGATGTTTCCGATGATAGGTAGATCCATTTCTTTAATGCATGAAGTTTTGACTTAACTAACCCATTATTTAAAGTATTTAATAAAAGTAGTATAATTTTTTGAAATTTTACCAAAATAGAATAAACGTACTTTTGAGTAAGGTTTTATAAAAAAATTATTTTAAAGAATAAGCAAACAATATTTAATTATAAACGGCATTAAAGAAGTATTTTGTGATCAACAGTTACGACATGAGATAGTACATATTTCGGAGTAACGTTTTAATTAACGATAAAAAGACAAGTGTCCTTTCAATCTTGGGGAGGCAACAGGGGAATAAGTTTTATGGACTGTGACAGGAAAAATGCCATTTTGGCGATTCTTCATTTCCAATTTCACCATCTGTGAAACATCAAAAATCTTAATTTGAGTGAGATCTTGTTGTTTGAAAACTGAGATTATTTCAATTTCTCAAATTTCAGTTGCAACTTACATACTTGCAACGAATCCAAGAAACAACTGAAAAAATTGATGTAATTTAAGAATTTCCTTAAAGAGTGATCCCCTTTCTCATGAGTTATTAACTTATTAGTGCAAGGTTTAAATCTATTCTTTCTTTCTTTCTTTTTTTTCTTTTTTTTTGTATATTATCAAATTGATGTTGAGACTTTTCGAAAATGTCCAACTCCGATTAGAGTTTCGTGATTTAATTTTTTTTTCTATTCTATTGTATTTTAAATTTTGCAATTGCTGATTGTGAACATATAATCAAAATTTTGTAATTTGCAATTTTGATTTACTGTGTAATACAATTTATTTTTTGGTTTTTATTTTAAATGTTGGTATTACATTTTTGGTTGAATGTTGTTGAAATTTGAGGTCGTGTTAATTTTGAAAATGTGTTTTGCTGTAAATAGGTATTGAATTTGAAAACATGAGATTCAAATATTATTATGATATTATGAAAAATGAATTTTTGAACTTTTTCGGTAAAACTGAAAAGATGCGATGGTGCTGTAGAATTAGGATGAAGGAAAGAGGAGATGAATGAAGATTTATCTGAGAGATTGATTAAACTCATGGTTGTACCAGAAAATCGTTACCTCGTGATAACGTTTTAAGATTAAATTGTTACTCATGGTAACGTTTTATGCTTCTGTTAAAATCTGTCTACCGTTAATTTTGTCCGTTGAAATTTTTTAATATAATAATTTATAAAACGTTACTGACAAATACATTTAATCTATTTTGGTAAAATTTCAGAAAAATGTATTATTTTGATAAAATATTTTACATAATGGATTATTTCTGTCAAAAATTCTTAATGCATTTATTATCTTCTATCCGTATAATATTTCTCATTAATTTAACTAATACTTCACTTATTGAAGTTATAGTAGTGATTTTTTGTAAGAAAAAAAAATCTTTTAGAGATTTTAGAACAAATTTATCTTTTGCTAAAAGTCCAAAACAACTAGTAATATTTGGGACCGAATAAAGTAATAATCTAGTACTCAATCACACTTTTATCATTTTTAGTTTTCGTCCAAAAGAAAATGACGCAATTTTATATTTTAAATGATATAATTTTGTATTAATAAAATAATTTATAATCACACAAGTTATTCATCAGCAACAACTACATATCCGATGATTAAACCCATAAGTGTTGTCTGGAGAGGATAGAATGTACATAGATTTTATCACTACTTCGTGGAAGTAGATATTTTGTTTCTGAAAGACCCTCGTAATAAATCCAAATACAAAGAAGAAGGATATAGTAAAGAGAATATAGCAAGTAACAAGGTATCAATGCAAACCTTACTAAAAAAGAGTTAAAAATAATAATAAAATAATATAATAATCAAAACACAATAAATAAGATATTAGAATAGACACAAAACATCTATCATATATTTTATTTAAATAAATTATAAAAAAATTATCTATATCATATAAAATGATGTCTATATAAATTGAGACAGAAAAAATACGATACATAAAAACAATTGACAAATGAGTCCAATTATCATGTGAAACTGAAGCAGTTCATCAGTTCATGGAATTGGAAGAAGTAACCATTTTGGACACTCACAAACATGCAAAAGGCCTTTCAGAAAAATAAGGATAAACTATATAATAAAATTTTGGACAAGTTTCCCATTATAATAATCTTTGTTTCTTATAATATAAAGTTTGTCAATATTATCATTTTGGGACCAAACTTTTAAAAAAAACGTCTTTAAACTTTAGGACAAATACTTTCCCAATAATGTAGAGCTCCATGCATGGACACATATAGGCTCCTATTTCTTTACTAAACAAAATAATTGTAAGAGACATGAAATAATACAATTAATCATTTAAGCACAATAATAATTACTATTTGTCACTAATTGTAAAGATTTATTACAAATGATAAAGTATTAAAGTAACAAAAAAGATAAAAATGATATCTCAATGACATGAGTAAAAAAGTTTCAAGAATCTACTAGCCGTTTCGTTTTGTAAACATCTTGGAAAAGTTTGTCCCAAAAACAATCGGGAAAATAATTTTCTTGAGTCGATAGTTTATCAAAAACAATTTCTTTACTCTATTAAAGTAAGGATAAAATTTATGTGCACAGTGTACCTTATCTTTTCCAAATCGTACTCATAAAAATAGATTCTTGTGATCTAATTTATTTTTCTTAATTCCACACCTAACGAAAGCTTAGTGTATCAAACTTTTTTTTTTCTTTTTGACATTGAGTGCAATAATTATTTACATTATCGTTGCATAAAGTTGAAAGTAGTTTTACAATTAGTATACCAAAAGATAAAGAAAAAAGTCCTAAAACACCAAAAAAAGCTTTAGTGGAGAATCTCTCTTTATATAATTACTTTTTTATCTTCCATCATTTTCCCCCTTTGTATGATCTAAAATTTGTCCGTACTTTAAATCATTTTTAAAAGAAAATTTTCCATCATTATTGCACCTATTCAGCATCGCACTCAATTAATATTAGTAGTATATTTTATATGGAATTAATAACGATTTATTAATAAGACCAAAGTGGTGAATTTAATTATTTATTTGACGAAGAAGAGCCTACATAGCTTAATGCTACTTTGTGTCAAGCGATGCCTTTAAGCATCCAAAATACGTCGAAATTAAAACTGATATATTGTTCATGATAGAAAAGGAGTTAAAGTCCTGCTCCGACGAGTCATTAATCTACTTAATAAGATTCTCCCGCAGTCTATCCTTTCTTTAGTTATTTGATTATGTAATACTTATTAAATATAATAAACAACAAAATTTATTTTAACTCTATCGTAATCCTCAATCATTTTGTGGCATTGGGAGTGGAAACATTTCATTTTTCTCCAATTTAGCTCTAACAAAAAGCTCAATAGAGTTCTTAAGGGATAAGGCAAACTCGAAGCAGGAAAACAAAATGAGTAAATATTTAGAGACTGTTTGGATGGCCTTATAACTTTTGATTTTAAAGGCAGAAATTTTAACTTGTGATTTTTGATTGTTTTTTTTTGTCTTTTTAAACTTAAAAATAAGTGCTTAAAACACATTTTAAATTTTACTCAATCCGCTTTGAATCAAGTTCGCACATTTTTTCCCCAAATGGCTCGCACTAATATAAGTATCACAAAGTCTACGTAACTTCCTTCTTTTTAGATACTAGTAATACTAATATAAGACTCATGTCATGACTATATCTTAGTTGATTAGTTTGTCTTTTCTTGATTTGATGGAGCTAACTGACTACAAAGGGATGAAAGATTCTTATACCAGAAAAGAGGAAAAAAAGTTTAAGATGCTTTAAAATGTCACTTGTAAGATAATTACAAGTTAATCACTATGATTATCAATAATTAATAACTTGGTAAATATGAAATTTACACCACTAGTATAAATTATCAGTGTATATAACTTTAATCCTTATTTTTTATATGCAACATTGCGAAAGATTCCTCCATGTATGCAATGTGACGGCAGTTATAAACAAAAATTTGAAATCCAGATGTGACTTGTCAATACACATGTTCTTCCAGCCTAATAACAGCTGCTTTTGCTTCCTACTTAAACTGCACACATAACAAATTACATGCAATGCATCTATAGCAACAAAGACTACTGTTCCCTTCATTATTGTTCATACAACAAGACAACTGCTCCAATTTTTCATTATCATCATAATCATAACAAGTGTAATGCAAAGTTGAATTCCAGACCAATGCTCATTCAGTCATGAGAAGTGAGAACTCAGACTCTAGCAAAGTTGAAAGGAATAGTGTAATTTTTGAGGATTTGACACGAGTATAACATCATTTTTGGAGAGTTCAAGCAATATATACTACAGCTATCACTAGGAACCTAGCAAATACTCTCCCTTTTCTTGTCAAAGATCACTAATGAACTAGAACTGTCATGCTTCTTGGGTCATACAACCGGACTAGCAAAAGAAGCATTCAAACATGACCTTGATCAAATAACGAAACCAAATGCAGATAGGGCTAAAGTGCCTAAAGTTAAGTACAAATCATCTTCATTGCCTATTTATATAAACTTCTCATATTTGCAGTAGGGCTACATTTTAGTCCAGGATTCGAATAGTAAAGCCAAAAATTTACATGTTGATCACTAGGAACATCTAACAATTAGCTTAGCCAAGTCCAATGCAGATAAAATTGGCCAAACACACACAAAATAAATCTTGTTTTCATCAAGAAAGGAGTTATGTATCTCATTCTATCCTAGTATATACAAGAAGTGATTCTATTCATGACCATATAGCGACACCTTTTTTTAAAATTCTCTGCAGATGCTTAATGCTGTTGAGAAGTTAACCTTCAAACTCAATGGAGAAGACAAATGACAGAAGAGCAGACCAACATTCATCTCAACCTTCTCATTTTATTACCCAAAGCTCCAAATGGTTAAGACTGAACCTTGAGATTAGAACCCTCAAAAGAGGGAAACATAGAATCATACAACAGCATGCAGCAACTTGCTAAACCTGAAGATGGATCAAGTTCCTCACCATCACTGCCAACTAATGGGAGCCCTTAATATATGACACAAGGGAGTACCTTGAACTAAATCCATTCCGAGGCTATTCTGCATGCAGGAAGGCATGAAATATTATGCTACATATAGAAAGTACTATGATCAACCTCTGCTCTTAGTAAAGAACTCAAGTTGATATCAAGAACACTACATCAAGTAAACTTGGCAGATTATACATGAAGAAAAAAAGAAGGGAAAATCACAAAACGCCCAATACAAAAGATTATTGACACTACCCTTTTCTTATTACTTCTTCAAATGCTTTGCTTGTGACGAAAATTCCACACAGTGCCAATGTTTTGTTTCATTTCACTCCAAATTAGGGATTGAAAAGTTACCTTGTGAAGAACATCAGGCCACAGGGACCTTCAATCCACAACAGAAAAAGTATTGAATAAGCATAAAAAGATCAAAGCACTTGACGTAATTCCTAATATAGAAAAACCTAATAGCTTTTCAATTTCAAATGAAGCAAAACATGTGTTCAATGTTAAGCAGCATATGTCATGAACAAAATAAACTCTAAAATCATTAGTTGCACGTAAACAGATGATCATTATAGAAACCGGTTTAAGGTGAAACTCGGAATGGTGCAGTGATTGAACAGGACACTTATTTGAATAAAAGTTTTATCTTTCATCCACTGCAAGTTGTTCTAAATTCAACTATTGCATACTCGTCAAACATGTCCTTTTTTGCCTTTCTACACACACATATATAAACCTTACAATTTCTCTTTCTCATAATTCCACCGGCTATTCAGTAAATTTTTCCACCATTATCCCAATAGCAAAGTTGCTGAAACACCAGGGGGGACAGGGAACTTGTTACAACTTCCTTTCTGTGCATGAGACTTGCACATAAATCCATTTTAAAGTAGCCAAATTTCCAAGTTCCAACTCATATTCATCATCTAAGTTGGAGAGGGTCCTCCTTCAATGAGATACTCAGTTACTTGCAAAAAAGATATGCTTGCTCAGTTGGTCCAGTTCATTTACTTGCTTGATGACATCTTGATCAGGGGATCAATTCTCAACGACACACAACTGAGAATGTTTAGTAATATGCACACACATACATATGTAGACTGGAGACAAAAAATCATCCCAAAAGAAGTATACATGATTATTATTTGATTCCAATGAGCCAAAATAATAATAAATAAATAGAAGATACAAAAATACCTTGGAGTTTGGCATATCATTTGATTACTTCTGTTGCTTTTCTTTATTGATGTAAGCAGTACTCCAGTAAGGTTTAGAAACTTCCATCCTTTTCCAACTAGCCTTGACCAGTTTCACCTTATATCTCCACCAGCACATTCAGGACAGCATAGACAAAAGTTTACATCTTTTATGCTCAAGGACAGTGCATCTCAGACACTTCCATGATCACATATCCACCTTACCATAACGAGTTTGAGGCTGCACCCATGCACCAATAACACATTTTTCCTCCATCTCTTTGCAAGATGAAATTGAATCTCTAACAGCAAACTTTTTCATGAATGTTCAAAATTTTCTAAGATATGCTTTCTTGTTCCTTATTCTTTTGTGAACTTTTGTATCTATCACTTTAATAAAAAAATTTGTTCTAAAATATTATCATTTCAGAAACCAAGAAACGGTTAATTCCTTTTTCCAATTCCACCTTTACTACTCTAAGAGGGCGGATATAGTCAATAACTAATCATTTAAGAACTACGGGTAACTTAGTCAAATACCCCTTATCTTTATGTTAAAGATAGCAAATGGTTTTCTCAATGCGTGTGCCAAAACTTTAAACGATAGATAAAAAGGACAAAGAAGTATAAGATAGTTCCACCTGACTTCCATGAGGAGAAATTTTTTATTTGATATCCAAAACAGGCAGGAAAACATTTTGTCAGACATGCAGATGCCTCCTTTATCACTGTAGAGGCCAGACTAGATGCATGCCTACTTTTTCAAGGTGGTTATTTAGAAAAGGGGGAAAATTGAAGTATATAAATCAAAACGCCAGATTGCACTCATGAATACGCAAAAAAGTTTGATGCATCTGACCAGTAATGTCTTCCAAGGAATAGTCTTGCTCAAATAAAGATACAGATGTCAACACCGGCGCATGCCATAAAGTTCTTCAATTAATGAATTGATCAGGACATGAACTTCTGATATTTCACAATTCTAACTAAAGGAACCCTCCAAATTCTCAACTGCAAAATCTGGGACAACATAAATTATACAACCACACGCACAATTCAGCCGGCTACCTTTATTGAACCAATCTCATCAATCTTTGAGCTCCTGTGCTGCAACATTTTAGCAGGTAAGATGAAGGGACAATTAGTAAAAGGTGAATGTATACTAAGTGTAGGGATTAGATTGCGTACAATAAATTTATATCACAAAACTAACGTTTGCAAATATATAATTTTCCTCAACAAAGAAGGTTCAAAATATAGTAAAGAAAAATATTATATGAATCCAACATTTTTTAGTTACCTTGCTTTTCTTGTGTTTGTGGATACCGTTGAGATCCTCCTCGTCGTGCTTCCTTTTCTGAAATCAGTTTAAGAAAAACGATCAAAATCAATGAGTTCTTTTATCCCTTTTATTACCATGAAGTATGACTTTTTGATTGCCAAATTCCAAGATGTTGCAAATCAGGGTCGAAGTCAGCAAGGGTGAATTTTCCACAAAGCAACTCAATAGTTAAGTACCACCTGGCAAGAACTTTTTTTAATAGGTCCCACCCGGAAAGAACTTAAAACAAAAAAGGAAGTATCAAACTATCAGAGAGGAAAACTATAAAGTCAACACCGCATTAAGTAGATTACACAAAATTCAAACATGAGGTTATTCTTAGAGTAAAGGAGTGGATCAGAATTTTACCAACTTAAAATATATGTATCACTAAACTAAACCGAATAGGGCCGGACTCAACAACTTTTCACCTCAATAACTTAAAAAGTCAAGTGGCAGTTCATTTCAAAGACCTCATGTTCGATGCCTAGGAAGCTGAACCTTAATTAATCTCAATATTGTTCCCACTTGATCGTACAGAGGCAACTTGTAACAAAAAAGGATAATGTACAAATGGATTAAATTATAAAGTACAAATTCAGGAAAGCAAGTGCAACAGTCAGCACGATGGTACTGAGACCTGTTGTGAAATTTGTAGTTTCATCCACTTTAAAAGATTCTATTTAGTTAAGATAATGTTGAACCATCTTCTAAACTTCTGAACATGAACCTAGGACTATATTCAAAGTAACAACATACCATGAGAATCATCATTTTTGAAACAAAATCATTTGAGTTTAGATGACAGCAGACCTTTTCATGTTTCTTTGAATGCTCAGCACCAGGATCATTGTGGCCACTTTTATCTTTCTTTTTCTCTTTGTCCTTGTCTTTACTCCGATCTTTATGACGATGTTTGTGCTTCTTATGCTCTTTGTCCTTCTCCTTGTCTTTATCCTTGTGTTTTTTATGCTTCTTCTCCTTCTTCTCCTTGTCTTTCATCTCGCTCTTAGATTTTCCAGCTATAGTGGGGGTGCCTTTGTCAGACTATCAAACACCATGAAAAGACCGACTGATCAGCAACTATGATAACAGGAAAAACCATTTTATGTTTCAGCACATAATATGAGGAAACCCAATTCAAAAGCTCCAACTTCAGAAATCATAAAGGATAAGAGTGTTGCTTAGAAGCAGGTGAACAAATGGAGTTAAATCATCCAAATTCAAAAGCAGCTATCTTACAGGAGACAAATTGACTGGAGCCGTTTCACGTAGTTGGAAGGCTTCTCTAAGGACATCTAAGTCAAACGGCCGGATACATGAACTTGTCTCTCTTGAAAAGGAAGTATCCTGTGTGAGCTGATCCAACTGCATCTTCTCACCTTTCCTAATTTCTGTGTCTCCAACCACATTATGAAGATAATGTGTATCGGAAATTGATAATGGAAGCGACCTCTTACCAAAGAACTCATAATGAGGCAACAATTTGAAGTGACTAATAAGATCACGAGCACCTGTGAGTTCTCTTGGCCCTAACAATATATTTGGACCAAATCAACAACAGTTATAAACTATGTATATGAGTATATCTTTATCAAACATGAACACATTCTAAAGAGGAGAACAAAATTGACAGTTATTTAGTCAATAACAAAATATCAAGATATTGATCTAAGGAATTTTACAAACAAAACTATATTTGTGAAGGAATATGCAATACAAAAAATGGTAAAAGCCACAGATGCAATCTGCAGTCAGTTGGTGATAAAATGGTAAGCCTGCCACAACACCTCTATATTCATTTGCCACTACGAATTCCTCTGCTATCCAAATTATGTTCATTTAACACCTTAAGAAACTTAACTAATGCCGAGTGTTTCTCTTCTTCTTTATTTTTTGGTTTTCAGAAGCTTAGCTATAAGCTCTTCCACATTCCGCGGGTCTCTCAGTAACCTATGGCTTAAAATCTTAAAAACTTGAAAGTGATTTCTTTCTAGATTGAACTCTATTCTCTCTCTCCTTTTTCTTTTTGCTCTATCAGTTCACTTCATATTAAATTAAATATGATGGTGCGTCCATTTTCCAAAAAGATTTACTTATAGCTTGACCACCCTTCATAAAATTTCTGGTCATGCCATTGGTATCTTTGTAAGCAGAAGAAGTCGGCATAAATGGGTTGGCAATAAAACAATAACTTTATTTCCTGCAAGTAAGAGCAAGAGCAATAGGACTATAAAACAAAATTTCAGCAGCAAATAAATTCGCCATTAGCAGTCTGAGCAAGAATATCAATCAATGTCTCACATTCACCTTGATTCTAAGCCTAGGGATGCAATAACAAGCATTATTCATCAATTGCATACTAATCACATGAGTAGGCATGCAGTAGTCAACCACATTTACCAGTTTCAAAAAAAAAAAAGACATGCAGTAGTCAACATGTGTAACAAGCAAGGAGACTGTATGTCCCTATTTTTATTTTTTGAGGGGAAAGGTAAACATGTAAAAGTCTTACCTCTTCCAAAATTCTTGCTATCTGGATCCATCAATCAGCACCAAGTATATAAGTAGAGCATTATTTCCTGGAAAGTATCAGTAGGTAAGACAATCCAGAAATATCTAGTGCAGCAAAGGTCAATCTACTCATATGACTAGAATGCAAACAAAATGGCATTGGAGGAGGACAATTGGGAGAATGTAACCATAATACAACCGTAGTGCAAAATGAAAGAGCTCATAAACCTTGTCAGTATCATTTTCAAATAAATACTGCCTTAATGCCATGGATTTGGCAGGGGCTACTACCGCCTATGTTCAAAGCAGAATACCAAGAGTAAAGATAAAGGGGGCTAAAAGCGACACTAACAGAAAGAAAAACAGCTTTTATCTGTACAACTAAGGAGAAAACTTATATATGAGCTGGAAGAGAGATCATTCATATGCAATTTCTATACCTCTACTCTCAAGTGGATAGGGAGGTCTTATTTGATCAAGCATAGATACAACAAAAAGAAAATTGAAGTAAATATTAAGGAAAAAGAACAAGGACTCAGATTGGTCCTAAGAATAGTGTCTCCCGTGTACAATGGAGTGTATGTTATTTAGAGTGCATAGTGTCCCAAGAAATTGTCTATAATGACGGCCAGTGTTATCTACTGCACTAAGTCCAACCTCTCACTAAATTGTGTATAATCAGCCTAAAGATTAGTTTTTTCAAACAGTTACTTCACAAATGCAACTCAAACAGTTTTTTCAGCCTAAAGATTGGTTTTTTCCCAACAGTTACTTGACAAATGCAACTCAAACCAGTTTTTTCAACCTAAAGATTAGTTTTTTTCAATAATTTACTCAACGAATGCAACTCAAATTAACACTTTGATCCTTGACAAGACTGAACAATAAAAATGAAAAAGAAAAAAAAAACTTAACTTACTGCTCCAACAGAAAGAGGAGAGAACTACACTTAGCTCAACTTACCTCTTTCTGTTGGAGTACCTCAACTTGCAATAGAGAAAAAAAAAACTTATTAAAAGTTGATTCCATTACAATTTGAGTTTCAAATTTTCATAATTTCACACATCCGCATATCAATGAAGAAACACATTGATCTTTGATGATAAAGACTATCCCTTTCACAATCTAACATCAGTACATAGAGAATTCAAATCTCCAACTACGAAAAAGAGCTTACTCGATCAAACTGAGGGATATCCAATCCAATTGAAGAACGAAGCTCGTTTGTTCTCCAATTGACGGTTCTCCTGAAGCAAAATAATCGAAATTGAGGGCTTAGGGTTTGCAAATTCACCGTAAGCTTCGTATAATTGAACCAAGAGAAACCCTAATTTTGCAATTTCGCAGGGTTGAAAAAATATTGGCACCAATTACGGCGTATTATTATTATTATTATTGCGACATCGTAATATTTATATTTATTTTACTGGCGATGTCGCGACTCTGTTTCCTATTTGTGTCATGTTGACAATAATTGCCCGTCTGACCTGGTTTCTGAAGGAGTTTATTGTAATTTCGACTCAAATTATTTTATTTTTTGCTTCAAATAAAATCCACTAATATGTTTTTTTTAAAAGCTGTGACTCAAAAAATCCACTAATATACATATTTTTTAAATAATGTGAGAATACTAAAAATATATAATGTGATTTTACATAAGTTAACAAAAAGTATGAAAAATGGCATTGGTTATTGGTAGCAACCAGTATAACTAAATAATGTCATTCAAGGATTGTTACGTAAGCAATCTATTTTAAACGCCAAAGACTACTTCATAACTAAAATTTGAAGTATAAATAAATAAATAGTTGCTTCAGATTATGCAAATTTTGCAAATTGACCATACTCTAAAAGTATTTTGAATATTTAATTTTATGATTCAAATTTTTAATTATAAATTACATAAAAATTACTTTCTCTTAATTTAGATACGATTTAAATAATCAATTTCCTCTCTCCTCTCTCATATAAATTATAATCATAGAAAAGATCGAATAAGACTTCATTTATAATCTAACGAAAATCCCTAATCAAAGACAAATGAGATCTTCAATATACGTGTCCGAAAGTAACTCACACAAATAAGAGTCTGGTTTGGTCTGAAATCAGGCACGACCCACTCGTTTACTGCTACATCTAAAAATAGCATCAAGCGAAGATGTCGTTATGTCCCTTAATCAATCAAATGGTCCTTTGACCTTCATTTGATTCCAAAAAACGACATAGATCTCATAAATTTGTATACAACCCTTAGTAAAGACTAGACAATTAATTCCAGCAAGTGGCATGTTAGTCACACAAACATAAACTTTATTATTGTATCAAGATTCTCCATTAAAAAGAATGTTGAAAGGACCACGCCCAATAATATTACGCAAGCCATCTATCTTAAGCATCAACGGTTGATTCTATAATTCAAATACATAGACAGATAAACTGTTGATCCAATCATGCAAGATTAGTAGATTGGCGACATTTTAAGAGTGTTTAGCTCTAAGTCTCTAACACATCAATTACGTAAAATTACTCATCTTAATTCAGACACTATTTAAAATAGTTTAGTATCGCAACAACAAATTCGACCAAAATTGAGGTATTTTCCAGACCCTTATCCCTATTCTAAGTTACTCCTAATTTGTACATATACAATAGATGTTTAAGGCAAGCAGAGACTTTGAATCTAAATTTTTGAAGGGAAAATTACACGTATAAATAAATATATACTTGTTAATTAGATAGCATAGCTATAGTTTGCCTTAATTACAATTCGCGGCCTACTTTTAGTCATAATTACGCAACTCAGCTTTTTAGTTTTGTATAATTCGCAAGTTTGTATAATTCGGATTTTGTATAATATAATTTGTATAACTTTTGTATAGATCATAATTTGTATAATATATTTTGTATAACTGTTTACACTTCTGATGTTTGTAATTGTATAAATTAGTTATTTCAAGTTTATACAAAAATATCTGAATCATATAAATGTACCCGCGAAATATACAAACCTGCGAATTTATATAAATTTGCGAATTATACAAACGAGATAGCTTAAATTATAGCTACAGCCCATAAATATGCAAATTATAGCTATAGAACATAATTAAGTTTATTATAGTGGCTATTAGCGAAAGTTCCTCTTTACAATAATCACTTCTTAGTTCCTTCGTTTACTTTTACTCCAATAGTTGTCCGTTATTTTTAAAATAAATTTTTGCTTTCACTTGTTACTTTCAACGTTTCAGGACTATTATTATTTTTCTTACATGTTTTATCATTAACATTAATTACTCATTTTCAAATCATTTCTCAAAAATTAATCTAAACATGAATTTATTATAGGAGTGTGATAAATAGTAATGTCAATCATTATTTTTAATGGGTGGTGCCAAATACGATCGGAATAAGTAAAAAAGAACGGAAGGTTTATTTTACTATAAACCTGGATTAGTATACTATAATTATCAGTTTAATTAATTAAACAATAACTTAGAAAGATGCATAGTACGAAAGAATCTAGAATTTAACCGCGAAATTATCTTCCTCCGTGAACGATCCCAACTCCGCCGTCTTCCGCCGCTGATCTTCGAAGCGGGCAATCTCGGAGACTGTATCTTCTCCGTACTAGAAAAAAGAGAGAACTTGGAAGTTTTTACAGATAATAAGTGTCCAGAGCAATGGCTTCCCTTACAATCAAAGCGATTTTCTGTATGCAATTGCTACCTTTGCTCATCGGAGCCTTTTCCGTTATCCGAATCAACAGTAGTTGGGATGTGGAAGAAGGATTGCTACGAAGGCAAACCGGACACCAGAGAGAGTTTGATTACTTCAAGCTATCTCTCTTATGGCCTGGCTCAGCTTGCCGGAATACCACCAAATGCTGCTCTTCCAATGCCTGTTGCCGGTACTTCTCTTTTTTCTTTCATATCTCAAATGATTTTTCGTAAAACTTAGTCATTCAGCTGATTGATAGATTGTAAAATTAGACTAATTGTCGATTGATTTCTTCATTTTGCCTATTTATTCTCAGATTGTAAAATTATATCATGTCGAAGGAATTTTATTAAATTAAGCTAGTTGTCTGTTTTGTAAGGATTTCATGACATTTGAAAGCAGAGGCTTACCTTTTTTGTGTGTTTTTTTCAGCTCGAACTCACCATCAATATTCACTATTCGTAAGTTATTCCGATTGGGAAGGATGTTTTTATATTTTGTTTTCATGTTGTGCAATGTGAGAGGTAGAATTGAATAAGGTTTCTCGTGCTTCAGATGGACTTTGGGCTGATTACAATGACGGAACTTGGCCTGCATGTTGTTCTGGCCCCCAATTTGATAAGGAGCAGGTATATTGCTAACCCTTTTCCCCGGACCAACTTTTTATTCCGCGAGGACTGTTTGAAGAGAAAGTTAACTGGTGGAACTGTTGTTGCTTAGATAAAGACCTGTTTGAAGGGAGAATTGATTGGTAGAACTGTTAATGTTTAGTTAAAGACCTGAAGCACGCTCTTTCATGGAAGATGGGCGCGTGCTTTCGTTCCCAAAATATTCATGTATTTTGACGGTAAATCAGTTTATTGGCTGTGAAGGCTACAAATAATTCATACCCATAATGCACCCTGCAAGTTGTGGGATTTAATAGGGTATTATGTGACTGAAGATCTGTTTATATTGTTTGTCAAAACATGTTGACTCCAAATCCAGAAACGCTTGTCACTGAGAATAAGCTTTGAACAAATGAAGGATTTCAAGGCAAATGTGAAATGTTTGGATTTGCAAATGTTATTATCCATTCGTAAGGAGGTTCCCAAAGCTTATAACTCTGGAAATTAGGATTTGGCAAAGTAACATGATGCACTACTAGCATCTTACTTGCACTTTTATGACAGATCATTCATTCCTATTTTTGGTTTTAGTTGAAGAGTCTTAAATTGCATATAAGTTTGCCTTTCATGGTGTACAATCTGTTTTGTTTGAACATTCATTTCATTCTACTGGCTATTAGTTTAAAGTGCTACTTCTTCTTTTTTCAGTCACCTTTGATCAATCCTGAATTTTGCCTTAATATAGAAGGATGTCTTTTCTGAATTTAATTATCAAAAATTTTAAGTGTATGGCATGCATTATTTGTAACAGTTGATTTGCAATGTATTTTGTATTAACTTGTGATTATTCAGAGATATAAAATATAATTTCAATAGAAGGATATTCTTCATCCAAACAAGTGTCTAACTTTTTGAATTGTATGAATGGGATAACCCTTAAAGTTAATGTGCTCTTGTTCGTGATTTTGGACTTCCCTTTGTTGTTAGATATAAGACAGTGTGGTAAAGGCTTTTCATATTAAAAAAAAAACAGTGTTGTAAACGCGTGTTTAAGCCCTGAAGCTGAGTGTATGGTTGGCCTAGGTGCTGCACCCCGCTTAACTGGTGTTCAATGCAGCACCAAAGTGCTAAGATATGTTCCTCAAAAGCAATGGGTTCTATTACAAACCAGACATCGTTAAACAATAACTATATATGCCAGTAAAACTCTATAACTGTTGGTTGCCGTTATTGTTATTTTTATTGCATTACATAATTACATTTATATTATTTCGGTACCTTTTTCATCTGCACTTTCTTCACTAAAATGGACAGTTTAATAGAGCTTTGTGCTTGACACTAGCGGGCTATGGAGCTTTTATATGCCTTTCTCCTTTCACGATACTGATTTAAGGTCCTTGCCTTGGATTTTTGCTGGGAAATGGTATCACAGTTCTGGCTTAAGTATGCAGATACAGTTAGAATGTTAAGCCTATCAATATCTTTGCTGGCAAGTTGCTTAGTAATATATTTAATATGAGCATCTGGAAGTTCTTTACAGAAGGATCTGTGATAATTTTGAATATTGAGAATTCAGCAGATGAGACTGAATAAAGAAGCTTATATTTCTTCAACTCTAAGGGACATCCATTTCCTACTGCATATTTATATAAATATTCACCAGCACCGAGTTTGAAACATTTTGTCTTTTGAGCTTACATATCCATTCATTCTGTAGATTTCAACACTGCGTAGGCCTATGAAGAAGTACTGGCCTTCTTTTAGTTGCGAGGCCACCTCAACTTGTCACCATGAAAAAGGATCATTTTGGGCTCATGAGGTGGTTTTTCATTGTTACTTGTACTAATGATTGATAAAGAATTCGATACAATTCAAGGAACTAACATGTCCTTCTTGCATTTCTTTTATGCTGACTCTGGAGATATTCATTTTCAGTGGGGTAATCTCTCTTTACCTTATTTTATATTCAGTTTATATATATCTTGCAAGATGACTTGATGGCTTTGATCAAGATCTTTGATTGAAATGAGAAGCAAGATTCTTTACTTACCAGAAG